GGGGTAAATCCGATTGTTTGCCGAGTTGTATCACGACGTAACAACAACAACTTAAACAATCAGATTTGTGCCAAGACCCTGGATACGAATTCTGGTTAAATCACCTGTCTTTAGCTTTTTGTGCTTAGGTTCGAAAGCGGTCATTCGATCTTTGTAGTGTATATAATTTTAGGTTTTAAAAATATTATTCTTCTTAGTAGTAAGATGAATGAAATGCCCTATGAATATCCGTATTTATACTAAAATGTCGAGTATATATGTAGTTTGCTACGATCATATATCACGTATATATTCAGACTTTCGGGCTCTGAGGCTGGGGTCTTCGAATTTGTTTCTTTTTTTTCTTAATATATATAAAATATATAAAAAAGGATACTCTAGCAGGGTCTACAAATGGGCAAGAACTCGTTTGGGCCTATTAATTATTCTGTAAAGGGTCCCAAATGGGCAAAACCCATTCCAGCCGGAAAAAAAAGCGTCACGGACGTTTTTTGGCGACGGACAAGAAATCGGTGATAATGTCAACAGGGACTTAAGAGGAAAAGCTTACGCTTCCAGCAATGAATATAAAATATAAGTCTTAACAGATGCATAAACCAGTCCCCACACACATACTACAACTCGATATCAACAAATACTGGCGATAAAGTGTACTCTAGCCAGTGACAGAAGCAAACTATATTCAAACGTACCTCATCACCGTCATCGTACTCGTCAACTGCTGGTGCAGCCTCAGGTATATGTGCATTGGCGACTGGAGACTGTTCGGACTGAGCCTGTGACTGTGGCGTGTGTGGATTATTTGCACTGCTGCTCACAGGCGCATTCATATCCGGAGTGCGCGAGGCAGTGTGTAGTTGCTGATGGTAGTATTCGGGCCAGCTCATAGGTACGTACGTCGGGCTTGCGTGCGGATGTGTGTGGGGCTGTGATGGTGTTTGTGCGTGAATGGGTATGTGTGGATAGAGTTGTGTTTGTGTGTGATAGTGTTGGAGCACGTAGCTGTAGTAGACCTTCCACAGTCGCATCGTCTCTTCGTTGCTTACGTTTGCATTGATCACAGGATCGCTGTTCATCCTGATTAGTAGGTAGTATTGAATACAAATTGAAAATCAAGATCAAGAGGAGTATATTGGCACAACGTGCGTCTGCGGGTGTGCATACTACATGAGGCTGGTTTGGATCAGGCCCTACCACCAGTCATATGACAATTTATAATCCGGCAAAGGCCCGCGCCAAACATTTTATGCACACAAGAGACAGCAAGCCAATCTTTCAACCTGATACATCGAATGATCTTTCACAGACGCTACACCATCGCTAAGTATAAAGAAATTGCACTTACACACAAGGTCACAAAAATTGCATCAGCACCTCAAAGATGTGGCTGTGGATTCCGTAAAACCAATATACTCATCACATCAGGAACGCAAATCTGACTTAAATGTTAAAGATCCCAAACGAGTTCTAAACACCGCCGAACTGCCACCATCACATTTGTCGCGACTACATTGTTCAGAAAGTCTCGTTTGAGTACGAGCCAGCTGAGTCGACAAAAGTACACACACCTGGCTTCCATCTGTCGTAATCGCTCTTTGAGTACTTTGTTCTCGTTCTCGATGTCAGTTGTTGTGCTGCCCAGATACACAAATGTGAAGTTGAGAAGATGATATACGGAACACGATCCACTTAAATAATAATAAAACGGTACGCTGGAGTAATCCGCAGAAACAAATATATGGCAAAGCCCATGTGAGTTACCCAAGAATGCAGGACTTAGAACACAGTCATCACATAACAGTTGCTCCTGCATAGAAAATTGAGACAACAACGATATACAGCTGAGGAATGCAGAGCACAAAACGTATATGCACCGCGCTTAATGTGACACATTTAGCTTAATTGACACGCACATATAGCGAAATAGAAAAGTATAGACGCCGTTTATTCTCAATCTGCACACTGAAAAGAAGAAGAAAAATTACTATTGAGATCAAAACTTCAATCTATAGAGCGCTGCAGGGTCAGCTATTGTACGAATATATACACACACAAATTAGATCAAATCAACAGCGCACAGATTGCGTGGAAGGCGTTGAAAGTCAACGCCTATAGTTCTCGGGTTCTTTGATACCTTTCTCGCATGATCTTGCGCTTGTATTCACAGAAATTATCACATTCAATCTAGATATATAAAAAGTAGAGAATATTTTAGGCTAGGCTATCTTGGACTACTCAGGGGAGCACTATTCATCGACGACGAAAGTATAGGGTTATCAGGGTTTTAAATGGGTATAAAACAGTACTATACAAGTCCAGCAGCATACAATTGCACTTTGCCCAACACTTTGCGCGCACACACACACCTCTCGATACTTGCAGTTTCGTTTGCAAAACTAGCAGCCTCAACACTCCTACCAGACACCCTCTGGTCCCCAACCTGGCTGTGACTGTCCGGTATTCTTTCAGCGTTGTGTGCGGTAGTTTGTGCTGGCGCTGCCCGTGCAAGTGTCGATGTTGTTGCTTTTACTATCCCGGATGTCGAGCTACGAGGGTTGGGAGAGTCTTTGACCAGCAGATGCACGGTCTGAATCTTATCGACGTCAGGCTGGAGATTGACCAAGGTATTGCAAGAGTTATACTAGCTTAGCAAACGACTAAAAATCCTTCGATAATAGAAAAGGTAAATAAAAAATGGTATATTTTGAACTATTTGTTTCATATAACATGCAGAAGCAACTGCCACATGGTCTCATTGTCCGCTCTAATATAACAGGCCAACACCCAGCGGATGGTTCCAGTCTGATACCATTAACGTATGTAAGCACTATGATATATTACATACGCATACACACATGTGGCTGTTGACTTTTCGTAGAACCGCGCAATTACACATACCTCTCTGAGAGAGGCTCGCAAGGACATGCTATTCACCCATAGCCTACCAAGGTAGATCAGCCGCTGTTGTGACACGTCGGGCTTGTATGGATGATGGTCTTTGATCAGATGCATTACCTGACAAATAAAACAGAAGCACAAATTTGCATGTCAAGTGCGATGCAGCGATAGCAGAGTAAATATGACAGTAAATATCTAGAATTGCATATACAATTAGACAGACGCGCACAAAACAGAAAAAAACCAAAAACACACATACACACACATAAACNCACATAATATAA